CGTGAAAAAATCCAAAAAATTAAAAGTTCCAGAATTACAAGATTATGTTACTAGATATACTGCTAATTTTAGAGCTGTGGGATTTGAACCTGCAACCTCGTTGACTGAAGCTTACTTCCTAAACCACTACACCAACACTGCAACTGAAACAAGCAAGACTATACTCTTACTATCATTAATAAATCCAAAAAAAAAATAAAAAGTCACCAAAATGTACTAAAATGCAAGAATTTGTCCTAAAACGTGTTGCTATGTGAATATTTTGTGTTTAAAACTGCAAAAATAGTTATGATAATTTCAAAAATCACCAAAAACATGCCTTACCATTATATATTATAGCCTTGCCATTGTGAAAAAAATCCAAAAGTCCCAGAAATGCCTTAAACATGCTAAAAGAAAAGAAAATTAAAAAAAAAACTTTTTCACCATGTGACAACATCACACGCAAAATTAAGAATTCACCAAAATATTAAAAAAAAATAACATTCAAAAATGTTTTTGTTGATGAGAAACATGGAGAAAAGATAAAATTTTGAAGTTTTATTTTCCAAAAATTTTCATGAAAATTTTTTACCATCTGACGACATCGCACGCAGAAACAAGAATCTACCGGAAAAAAAAAAGATTCAAACTTTTTTCAAAATGCTATTAGTAGATGAAATACATGCAGAAAAGATATTAATTTTGAATTTTTATTGTCCAATAATTTTCATCAAATTTTTTCACTATCTGATGACATCACAAGCGAAATAAAGAATTTACCGAAAAATTAAAAAAATTCAGAAAACTTCTTTTCAAAATGCTATTAGTTGATGAGATAAGAAAATATTAATTTTGAATTTTTATTTTCCTAAAGAATTTTCTGATTTCTGATGACAACGCACACGAAATTAAGAATTTACCAAAAAATTTAAAAAATTCAAATTTCTTTTTCAAAATGCTCTTATTTGATGAGAAACATGCAGAAAAGATAAGTTTGAATTTTTATTTTTCAATCTTTCACCATCTGTCAACAAAATTTAAATTTTACAGAAAAATGTCCCCCCCCAATTTTTTTTTTTTTAATTTCAAAATGCTATTATTTGATAAGAAACGTGAAAAAAAGAATACAATTGTGAAATTTTATTTTCTAAAAATTTTCATCAAACTTCATTACCATCTCACCAGCAAGACACCCTGGAAAGGTTTTTACCGAAAAATTCAAAAAAAAAAAAAAAAAAAATTCTAAAAAAATTTCATCTGAACTTTTCACCATCTGACCACCATGACATGCGAAATTAGGATTTTACTGAAAAAATTCAAGAATTTTTTTATTAATAAAATATTTCTCAAAATGTTCTAAGTTGATGAGAAACATGCAAAAAATATACATTTTTGATTTTTTTCAATAAAAATGTAAAAATGTTTTTTTTTTTACATAGCACTGTCTATTTTATAGTTAAAATTCCAAAGAAATATACTTTTTTGGTATGTAAAAAAATATAAAAAATATTATATTATATATGTAAAGTATATTATACATGTATGTTGCTTTTGATTTGATCAAAATCCATCATTGATCAAAAGTGACATGGTATAAGTTAAATATACATTTCTGAATATATTTGTGTTTAAAATGTACATAGGTTTACAAGTTGACACGTTAAAGGAAACAAACTTGACAACTTCTGAGGATGTTGTCGATGTTGAAACTCATCACTGACCTGAGTACTGCATATGGGCCCCCAGGAAGGAGTCCAGCATGGAGCCCACCAGCCCAGCCACACCACCATACACTACTATTGGCCACTGGGGATCAGCCAGGTGTAGGTCATTCACCATCAGGATCTGGGATGCAAAGTAGGCCACACCCACCACAACTCCCCCAAGAAAGCTAGCGAGCAGCCCAATAGGAGTGACCCCTCCGTTTGTTCCTGAAGAGTGACAGAAAAAATGTTATAATTAAAAAAAAAATTTCCAGGTTACATTTGTATTTTAAGATCAATGTTTTTTAAGATCTACGTATAATTTTTGTTTTACCTAATTGATGCTTACATTTTTTACAACTGTTGTAAAACTAGTGAAAATGTTGTAATATTAAAAACACATCAAAAGACAATTTGAAAAATAAAAGTATTTTTAAATATTTTTTAAAAATCTTTAGCTTTTAACATTTTTATATATGCAGAATCATGTTGTGAAAATCAACATGTCCTTTCTTTTAAATTTTGGAGTTTCTAAAACTTGTACATCAACAAACATCAATAAATAAGATGTTAGTGTAAAGTTTACATTACACGTTACATTTTTGCAAGGATAAATAATGACTTATTTATTTTTGCTTTTGAAGTTTAAAATAGCATCAGTTAGACTTTGTTATAATTTGTCCTTTCAAACAGTTCAAGCAAACCTCCATAGACAGTAACTATTTTTCTTCAACATTAAGGGTAAAAGATACCTTTTGTATTTATAAAAAACAGGATTAGCAATACTTATGTTTTTACAATTTGTCAAATGTTTGTATTTCACAATAACATTTTTCATTTACTGTTAGTGAACTGATGGGAATTTTTAAACAATATTTTGTAATGTGACATACGGACATTCTTGCATAAAAATTGCTTTTTACAACTACTTTATCTCCTTTGGGTATTTTACTACAAGATATTTTGTATTTTAGTTCATGTCAACCACAAATATTTGCATGTTAATTGTTAATGACAGAAAACCGTTACAGTGCTGAAGAATACCGATGCAGTATTGTGAAATGTAATATCATATATCCCTCATTATGTTGTATATATTGAGAAGGCTGCAGACTGTTGAGGACAACGGTTTTACTGACGTTTTGAAAGAAACTCTCATTGAGCTCTACGAGCCACTGTCAAAACTCCAACTCTGTGACGCTAAATAATTCCATCATTTGCATTTGTCACAAATAAAAACAACTTTTATTCTTTGTTTTTCTGTTCCATTAATATAAAGAAAAAAGCAAGCTTTAATATGACTCGTGACCCCCGAGTCATATGAAATATTTGTTCATATTGAACTCACGAATCACTCACAAATCACTCACTGGGAACAAATGAATCATTCTCTGTGAACTAATCTTTCGCCTCGTTCTCGCAGATTCGTTTCATTTGTCACGTGACAGAGAGCTCGGGTCTTTTTTGCTCTCATTCATCTTCACATTGTGGTGTGTTTTTATTTCTTAGCTTTTCACATGGTTTTAATTGCTTATGGCATTTTGTCTACTTTGTAGACTTTGTCAGCAGAAGCAAACCATGTTGCCTTCAGTATTTAGTGTCTGAGAACCGCAGCCTTCTTTACAACGCCCACAATAGGCCTAAAGCGTCACCTGCTGTAAAACGAATGAAATGATTAGTTCAAGATTCGTTCACGACTCATTCGTTCATTTTACTGTTCGAGAGTCAAAGGTTCAAATCAATAAAAAGAGTCGGTCTTCCCATCACTACAACACAGTCACTTTTTCAGTCACGCAGTTAGTTTTTTTATCACCTTGTAAATACTATGTCTACCCTGCTGTTACTTTACTTTTAGTACTACATGTCTATCCTGCTGCTGTAACAACTGAGATGAATAAAGTCTTACTGTATCTCATCTTGTCATCATACAAACATTTGACCACAAATGCACTAACGCTTGACTGTGATTTCACACAGTCAAACCTCAAAGCCAATTTGATTACTGGTTTACTGGTTTTCTGGAAAACACAGAGCACAAGACAGCTTCGGTTTTTCTTGGTTTTCCTTGGAAAATGTTTCTTCCTCTATCTCCCAAGGCTCTTTAAAGGTCAGACTGGATGTTGTTTCTTTTGAAACACAACCCTTTTACTCTGATCAGGCTCAGTTTTACATATTTTAAAGATAAGATTAGATTAGATTATGAATCCCTCGGGAATTCCCTTTGGGAAATTAAGGTTCCAGCAGCAGGGATGAACAGACAGGGAGAGAAACAAAGAAAAAGACAATACAAAAAGAAGGAGAATAGCAGCACATTGTTATCATGTATAATGCTATAGTATGTGGGCCGGATGAGAACAATCATAACATAATTACCTATAAACAACAAAAAGTCCATGTTTTTCCCCTTAGTTGGTAATCCCTGTTTCCAAAAAATTAACCTGTTCATAGCAAGTAGTTTTACTTCTATATAAAATAAATTATTAACCTTAAACATTGCTCTTAAACTGATTCCCACAACGTCCTGCCTCCTTCATTTGCCTCTTACCTGCTGGGACCTCCTTCCAGGTGGTTATGAGTCTTGGCTTTGATTTGCTAAGAACAGGCCCCACCTCTGATGCCCAGGTATCACCGGTGCTGCAGGCGAGCGCACCCACCAATGACAGACACATCCAGGAGGCGGAGTACTGTTTCCCAAAGTCAATAGGAATCTCGCCTGGTCCCACCTGGAACAAACACGACAGGTGAGGTTTTTGTTTCCCCATCAGTTTAAGCATCAGTTTCGATTGAGCCTCGGTCAAAACACAGGGGGCAGTAGAGATGCTTTTACTAAAAAAAAGTGGTTTTAGATTGTAACAAAAACAAAATTAATTAATTAATTTAAAAAAAACATGTCATCAGTCCAGTCCTAGCTTTTCGCAGTTTTTTTTCTTAAAGTCAAAGAACAATACAGCATGAAAAAAACAAAAAAAATGTCAGCTTATAATTGTTTTTTTTTTACCTCAATCATGTAGAGCAGTGCCAGTTCTGTAGGAACTCCTCCGTTACAGAAGACCTGAACCCAGCTCCTCTGGCCTCCTAAGGAGAAGACAAGACACATCAGTCCAGCTTCAGAATTCTTCGATTTAGTTTTTTTTTCCCAATAAAAATCCTGAATAACAGGACCAACTTTTTTTTAATCAAGATTCTGACACTTTTTTTTTTGGAACTATATGACTTGACATGTCCTAGAAAAGTTCTGATCTTTTAAATGTCGGGATTTCATGAATTAAGTCAAAATTTAAAAACTTTCCAAAAAAACGTTCACTATTTATTTTCTGATCACGTCATTATAATCTTTGTCTGTCTTTTGGTAATAGACTGACAGGTTTTCACAAAGTTTAAATAACAGAAATAATAGCTTCAGTACACGTTGTTGGTGTGTTCCCTGTAAAAACTACACAGTTCAAAACTTTGGTTAGTATCTTAATATAAATCTTCAATGAAATATTTATAAAACCATTTTATAAATATAAAAAAAATAATTAAATATAAATATTTATAAAACCCATCTGTTACTGGAGTTTTTTTTTTTTTTTTTAACTTTATTTAGTTTTGGTTTTTTTTGTTTTATTAATCAGAACCACCACTCTTCCCTCCTTCTCCTCTGTAGTTGATGTGCGTCTCGTACCTTCTTTGTACTCGGAATCGATCTTCTTTTTCTGTGCTCCGCCCCAGCTCGTCAGTTTCGAGGAAGTGATGAAGAACGCCAACAACGAAGAGAAAAAGCTGTAGTTGGCCATGGTCAAGACGAACCCCACCAGGAGAGCTGAGAAAATCACAGATGTTTTAAACCAGGTCTTTTTGTGACCAACCACCGGTCCGTGAGTCATTAGGTACTGGGAAAAATGTTATAATAATTATTTTTAAACTTAATTTGGATTTCCTGGATTTACTTCCTTTATTTAGAGATGATCTGTCATTTTTTCAAAATATTCTGTCTTTCAGACTCTGATGCTAACAGAATAAAGCCCAAAGATATTTTATTTTGAGAAACGTACTAATCCTTAAAAATACCTGCTATTGATCCTTGATACTTGCTGGGACCGGTCGACCGGTCTTGAATACTAAAAAGGTTGGGTACCACTGTAGAAGTACGCACCGATGTAGGAAAAAAAACAACAAATTTTTGATGCGGGGATGCTTAACAATTCTACTTATGAAATAATTATAGTTCAAAGTTAGTTAATTCCCACTACTTTTGCTTTTATTAAAACTACTTTCACTTTTAAAGGAAATTTTTCAATTTCTCAATTTTTTTTGTTTCTCGATTATAATTGTTTAAATGTTAGTCAGTTTGAAACAAAACATGAACACGAGTGTCACACTGTCATTATTGTGTTTAATGTAAAATAAAGCTAATACTACAAGCTAATGTTGTTGTTTAATATCAGGTTTAAAAGACATTATAAATTTGTATTGATTTATGTATTGGCTTTATTGGTTTATAATGTTACCTGATATTTTCATAATCTTAATCGTGAGGTACCCTGATATTCCCAGCTCTAGTGCGAAGAGAAACAGACTGAAGAGTCATAGAGTAAAAACCCAGAAAAAAAAAAATAGTAAAAAAAAAAAAAAAAAAATCACTGTCCCAATTTTAATGATAAAGTGTCCTTTGTACATTTTCTCTCTTTTTGTTTCACATGTTCAAAAACCTCTTAATCAAATTGACATGCTTAAAATCTTTGAAGTAAATAAAAGCTAAGGAATGTGAAGCAACTACATCGTTACACACACACACACGCACACACACACTTACTTACCTGCTAGGGCTCCGCTATAATCCAGACTACGTCTCTTCAATGCTCTTGACGTTAAAACAAGCGTAATCAAGATGGAGAACAACCATCGCCATGGTGACACAGGCTGCAGGGTGCCTTCATTAGACACAAAGTGAAGAATGTGGTGGTTAGTGTTACTGAAGAGAAGCTCTGAGTCACACACATTCACAGGGCTGCTTCCCCACAAACTCAGCCATGAAGAATTGTGTTGGTCGAATATAAACCAGTGATTGTGAAAACTAAACAACGCCAGCATAAGGCAGGAAGAGCACATGATTTTGTTTGGCCTTTCTGGTGACATTTTAATGAAGCTGCAGGGGAAAAAATAGAAACTACGTGTTACCGTAATATGAGCTGATAACGAGGGAAGTGATCCAGAAGAACAGGGAGAGCGCCAGTGTGGCGCAGAGCACGATCATGTCCATCATCATCTGTATGTACTCCTTCATCGACATCTTCTCCTCAAATTCCATGCTGGCAGGTGGTGACAGATGGTGCTGTGGCGTTGGGGACAAAAGAAGATCAGTTGTGTGGCAGTGTTTGATGCCCAGCAACCAAAGCAAAATCACACCTAGCACACACTGAATTAATATATATTTTTATATATTTATTGTTTTTCGATGGAAACTTTTCACTATCTCTGCTTGTAACAAACAGAGGTTTTGTTCCATATTTTGACTGATAAACAGTGTTTTCATTTTCTGAATGCTTTTTGAAATTGGAAATGAGATCACTAGGCCCACTACTACCTGAACCACCTTTTCTGAGTTTCCCTGAACCTAGCACTCACAGTGCTAAGTTCAGTGTGGGATTCAGTGTGGGAGTCTTTCTAACCCCTGATCAATGCTCGTGACGTCTTACTAATTCGATTATCTGATTAATTTTCTGTTCTCTTTCTGTCATTTTCTCCGCCATATGCTTCACTCAGTAGCTCTTCGAAATACCGCCAATCCTCACGGTTTAAAGAATACAAACGTCATTAATGTTCATCAAAGAGAGCAGGCGAGAATAAGCGGGTGGTGACGCAATGAAACACTTGTTGTTGCTCAATTTACCAGTTTTCTTCGCAGCCATTTCGAATGTCCTCCTTACGACCAACACGCTTACTGAGATGACAGTCGTTGCTCGGCCAGAATGTTCAACGCGCTATTATCGCGACGATCGCGAAATAAATGAACAGCTGTGCGTTGTTCAACTGAAGCACGGCTTGTATACGGCGTTAAGCAGAAGCAAATTCACACGACTGCTGACGTTCAGCTCACACTTCCTGTTTAGCAACCACCGGAGGCACTTAAGTGACGGACCGACTTCCACGAGGTATTTAAATGGAATTTAAAAAGACAGTAGCAAAATAAATAAATAAATAAATAAAAATGTATTATACTATGTATGGACTGCGACGCACGAAACCTCTTTCTGTCACCAACCGTCTATACTTGCGAGATTTTAATAATTTATATTTTCATTAACTATTAATATTGTATTTTTATTTTTCTTAATTCCTTATTATTTACATTATTATTATTATTTTGTCGTTCCTGTGACTGCCTCATATTTTAAATTTTTTGTATAATTGAAAATTATCTTATTTGCATACCCAGTCATAAGGGTCAAAACTGAATATGTATACATTACATATATACATATATTTATGTATATCTATATATTTAATTTTGTTCTACATATATTTACAATATCTATAAACATTCTGCCACATTCATCCACACACACATACCAGTGTAAAAGAATCTTACCATTCAGCCTTCATGTAGTCTGACAAATGATATCTAGCACTAATTCACCCTCCAGCCGACCCTTAGATAGATTTAAAGGCTCTTTTGAGTTTCGGTGTGACTCTACATTTCTGCGATCGCATGAGAAGCTGAAGCCACACTTGTTTCTCACTTTCTAAGAGCACAATCCACAAACCCAGGACTACTGCTTCACTGAATTTCTTAGAATATGAGTTTTCATATTCACACATGGAAATATGCGTCGGATCAATTACACACACCAAACAAATGGTTTTATGATGCAAAGAGTTTTTTAATGGACATTTTACATTACTAATAATATCTTCTGTCAAACAAGTTATTTAACAGCAAATGAGTCATTTTACTTTAAATTATTATGCTTAAGGTAATACTTTAGGTTTTTCATTTTAATATGATAGAGTCAATCATAAAGAATTTTTATCTTTTAAAACAGATCTGTAAAATATTTGGACAGGATGAAAAAAAGATTTATATTCTAACAGAGAATTCATCGGTGACAAGTGTCTTTTGCTTGTCTACACCATCAATCGGCAACCTGTTTCTCTTATATTTAAGTCAGACAAACAACAACTACAAACACAGATTTATTAAGGTGTAAATCAAATGTTTTCAAACTAATAAAAAATGGCATCTTTGATATGGACTGCAGAGTGAGACCAAGTTTTCTTCCAAAGCTCAAAATACTTTTCACAGTCATGTAATTTTTTTTCTTTTTTGAAATAATAATATTAACAATGACAATAACAATTATATCAATAATAATGATAATATTAATAAGAATCATCACCATAATCTCAATAATAATGATAATATTAATAAGAATAAAAACCATAATCTAAAAACAAGAACATTAACTCAATTTTCAGCTAAATTCAAACACCTTAAATGAGTGACAGAATAACAGAGAATGAAGAAAAAAAATTATATCACCTACCAAACAGAAAAGTCAAAGCTGGAGCAGGAAAATTATAGATCTGATTCTTACTTGTCATCTACAAACGTTAAATAAAGGCGAGCCCCACCTTTTAAGCAAAAGAAAGGGGGAGGGATGGGAAATAATCAAAGTGATTTTTTTAAGTGAAGTTAAGATAAGTTTACAAAGGTGTTTATACAAAAATATTATGTAAAAAAAATTAGTAATTTTGAAAACTAAGTCGGGTGTACGAGGTTAACGCTCTGAAATAATCAAAAAATCCGCGTGACACATTTTTATAAGTATGCTCTGCTATTATGTTGAGAATACGTTGAGAATAAAAATAAATAAAAAACGAGATTAAAATCGTAAATTTATGAGAATAAAGTTGGACATTTATAAGAAAAAAACACGTATATGTGCGATGAAAGACGTATATTTACGGGGAAAAAACGAGAAAAAAAACTCGTCTTACTTACGCATCGTGTCCTGTCAAATAAATTCTGTTTATCTCGGTGAGTTTGAAAGACGAAGTCCCTTCCAACCCTCCTCTCAATGTAGCCCTAATACTAATGTGCATGTGTGTAAAACACGTGGATAAACGTACTATCTACTTTCATGTAATTTTATGACAATTTTACTCCTATTTGTACATTTATATCAACGTTTACACAACGCAAACCTGTAGGTGATACAGTACATGCAACATTTATTGAATCGGGTCCCCAAATCTAATCGTAATACTGTACATGAATGTAGAGGATGTTTGGTTTGAACCTCTTGGCTCGCCGTATTGTGTACAAATAGCTAAGACAAGACTAGCTTAGCTATTTGGACGGTACTACTTAGCTAAATGGGGACAGTTTTTGAAATACTGCGCGTTTAAGCAAATATTTACACTATTTGACATGACATGCATAAAATTGACATTTAGTCTCGCTCTATCTGAATAGCATTTGTGATGTTTTAGCATGGACCTTAGGTTAGACGCTAGCAGCGTTAGTTAGCCGTTAGCTCCAGTATCTCCAGTATCTCCACAGCCGGTGAATCATGATGGAGGCGGAGGAGCTGCGGCCCGTACCCCGGGAGAGAGCCATCCTGGAGAGTTTCTTCACGCAGCTCGGCATGTTCTCTTTCGACAGAGCCAAAGATTACGTGGAGAAGGAGAAGGACGGCAGCGGGAAGAGCACCGGGGGCATGTGGGCCGCTCTGCTGGCTGCTCTTGCGCATCTCGCTGCTGCGGAGAAGGCGTACCACCATTTAACCTTCCTGGGACAGAAGATGGGTAACAACATTAATGATGTTTATTCATAATATCACACTGTTGTCATTTCAATTTGAACATATTTATTAGATTATTTATAATTTTAAGCCTGTTAAACTATAAATATCGACCCCAAAGTTTTATAGAACATGTAGTTTCACAGTAAAACTTAGTTTCAGGTAAATACAGTACATAGAGAAAATGGATTTATAACTGTAACAGAAAATGCTGGTGTACTGCTGCCTCTATCGTGTCACTGGAGTTAATCTTGATAAATAACAGCGAGGTCACAAAAATTACTAACTTCTTATTAATGATGCAAGCAACGTCTAAGAAAAAAACTGCATTGAAATTTGACAGAAAACTGTGGAAGAGTGAGTGGGTTTCACCTACAGTTTAGTGCCAGCAGATGTCACTGATGTATTAATTCTACCAACAAATAACTTGTCTTTTACAGGCAGCCAGTCCTTCTTCAGCCGTAAAGACTCAATCCGCACCATATACAGCTCCCTTAACAACGAGCTGAAAAAAGTCATCACCGGGGGGCGCCACGCTCAGCCGGGATCTGCTTCCTACCTGGAGGACCTGCTGCAGCATCTGTCAGAGCAGCTCTGCCACTTCACGCAGGCACGCACGGAGATGGCTGACCTGTATGAGAAGATGTACTTGCTCGGCAGCCAGAAGAACATCAACTCGGAGGAGCTGGTTGCCACCCTGGAGGCCGTGCTGCACAAATACAGCTCCAAGTCAGTTCTGTGTATTTACCTTTTCATCAAATAAAAATACAATTCAAATGTATTATAACTACTTTTGCTAAACTTTAAACTGTTCTTTTAATCAATTTGACATTTTTAGCTAGCATGTCTATCATTCGACCCACCCACTCATTTTCAATCACCAGCTATCTTTTGGATATAGTCTGAGCAAACTACTATCTATTAACTATTATTAACTTAACTGTCGTTTGTTAACCTACATATTTCCCTATTTTCCTAAATGTATAGTTATTAGCTACTTTTTGATGACGTTGTTATCTTAGTGCGTAGTCCAATTGACAGGTGTCCTTATTACGGAGTTACAGTTTTTATCCTTTCATAGCTAGCAAGTAAATGGTAGCAAACAGAGAAGAATTACGTAGAGAAAAACATGACCTCATTTTACAAAAATATCCCTAATGTTTCAGTGTTTCATTTCTAAAGATGGTGTGCTACAAGAAAGTTAAGAGTCAAGTGACACATTCAGGTCAGGAAGGAGAAACGCTTTGTGCTCCTTTGCAAAAAAACAAAAAGAAAAAAGCAAGTCCTTTTTTTCAGTGCAACAGAGATAAAAAAAAAAATACTGCAGCTACAGCAGGAAGATAAAGTCAGTAAACTGCTGTTGTCTGTCTGTCTCCCCCCACACCAAAGTCCACAGAGAAAACCAGCTCGTAGAAACTGATGGTCTGCTACTGCCCCCTCTGGTCAGTTGGTTTCAGCTATGAATAACATGATCCAGATTTACTATAACCACGAAGTCACCAAAGACCACATTTGAACAGAAGCAGTCGATCCACAACTTTACTGATTATACACTAGAACTCACCTGGTCTTTCTTGTGACCCAAGGTTCCATCACCCAATCTTGGGTCGTGTGGAGGAAGGTTTCCAGACGGAGGTGGATGTTGTGACCCAGTTGCTGCGGTGCCAGGCTCAGGTGTCAGAATGGCACTTCCTGCCCGCTCTGCTCAGCCTCCACAGCGCCAACACCAAGCTAGTGGCCTGGGGTCAACTCTTGCAGCGTCAAAAGGAGACCCGCAAGAACCTTTTCGGCGGTCAGTCCCAAAAGACGGTACAGCCTCCGCACCTGTACGTGTGGCTGCAGCGTTTCCACGGCACGCTGCTGGCAAAGTTCAGCTTCTATTTCCACGAAGCCCTGAGCCGACAGACAACATCGGCGGACATGAGGACGTTGACGGCACGCACTGTGACCGACTACTACGGCAAGATCTGCGCGTTCATTCGCAAATATGATGCCAGCAACGTGTCACTGGTGTTTGACAACCGCGGCTCCGAGAGCTTCCAGGGTCACGGTTACCACCACCCACACTCGTATAGAGAAGCTCCAAAAGGCGTGGAGCAGTTCCCTGCCGTGGTGTCCCTGCCCTCAGGTGAACGGCCGCTCACACACTGGCCCAATGTCATCATGATGATGGGAGACCGCGCCGCCGAGCTCAACACTCTGGACAAGGTGGTGCACTTCTTTGACGACAAGGTTCAGAGCACCTACTACCTGACGAGACCTGAAATGCACTTCACACTGGTTGTCATCTTCGAGGGCAGGAAATCAGAGAAGGACCTGCACATCGCCGCCTTCCTGCAGGAGATTTCAGGCTTGCTGCGGAACTCAAAGCCCTTCAGTACACTCAAGCCCGGGTCCAAGGGTTGATGTTTAAAAACTCAGTCTGGCAAAGATTCAAACATTTGAATGAAGTGGACCGTAGAAACAACACTTCGACCTAGTCTTTGTTCTGCAGTTCACCGGATTAATGTCGGTCTTTGTTCTGCAGTTCACCGGATTAACGTCGAGACCAAGACCAAGACCATTTTATTTTATGTTCAGATTAGAAGTTTTTTTTTTGTTTGTTTGTTTTTTAATTGACAGAGATTTTATCCTTTGTTTTGCACCAATTACTGTTTTAACAGGTGTTCATTTTAAAAGTTTAGAGTACAATTAAACTAATAAAGTTGATTATTTTCTGAGTTCTTTCACCTAAAAATTTGAGTCATTATTTAAATATAAAATAACTAACTAACTAATGCAAGTTCTTATTTTCTACACTGGGCAAGCCTTTTGGCTCACAGGCCAAAATAAGATTCAAAATTTAGCAAACCTTTTGGCTCACAGGCCAAAATAACATTCAAAATTTGAATTGCAGGCTTGTTCCGTATTGGTTGTATGTAAAAAAGCTTGGCGAAGTAAATTAAATGTACAACAAAAAACTTTTGTAAGATTATTTAGCACATTTGGTGTCTGCTGCCATCTAGTGGCTTCAACAGTCATCACAGAAGTCACAAACAGAAGTCTTCACCATACCAGATCTGGCCCACAGGCCATAGTTTGCCCAGGTAAAAAACTATCAAACATTGATGAATTCACCTCCTGTAGTCAAACATAAAAAACAAAAATGTCTAACGGCAAAATTCATCAAACGCCGAAGACATACAGGTCACACAGATGGAATTTATTGAGTGTTTGAACAAAACATTCAATGACATTTCAGTTTTAGAGAAATCTTCCATTGACTCGATCCTAATATGTTTTTTTTTTAGTTTTAATAATAATATAAATACAACACGTTGATACAATCCATTTGGCTATAACGAGCTCGTCTGTGGGAGATTCTTCTTAATCAAAACACATTAACACTGATTATGAAACACATTCAAATGAACGCTCCCCAAACCTCAAGTTTAAATGCATCAACATGTGAAGATGATGACGCTACATGCCAAATGGTTACACAGTCCTATACATCAAAGTGCAATGTCACAATAATGAGTTAATGCTAAAACGTCAGGTTTCGGTAAAATCTACAAAACGAAAATAAAGTAAAGACACTTTGTTCGAAAAGGGAAGCTGCTGCTGCTGCTCTTCAGGACATGCGTGAGTGAGTGAACACGGCAAAAAAGACACAGGTTTTTAAAAAGAAAAGGCACTTTCACACACACACACTCACACTCGCTCCACCACATGCACTCAGCATGGACAGAGGCCACATTCTGTGTGCTGTTCAAGTGTTGGTTTGTTTCTGGGCGTTTTACACACATGGCTCCACCCTGTTAGCTTATTGTGAGTTTCAGTTTAACTCGTGACGTTTACGTAAGGTAAACCTCTGTTTTTATTCAAACACACAAGATTTACGTAAGGTAAACCTCTGTTTTTATTCAAACACACAGACACGGCACGCACGCACGCGCAGTCAGACAAAGTGACATGCTTTTTTTTTCTTTTTTTTTTTGCACTTGAATCTGTCATCTGTTCTGTTACTGCAGTAGAAGGGCACATAAGCGGGAGACACGCAGACACATATGCTAGCTGTTTTCAGACATTCACAAAATTTCAGCTCGGCGAGGTTTAAAAAAAATGGGTCGACAAGAGTTGCCTTGGACAGTTGTCTTTTTGCGAGAACTGCTAATGACGAACAGGCTAGTGGTTGTTGAGTTAGTTTTTGATCACCTTTGTTGTACTATGTTGCAAATACAGAGTGAAAGTGTTTTTAACAGTTTAGCATGTCTGCCTTTCAAGCAGACTCCTGGGTTTAATTGTAAGAGGAACAACATACTGTATTTGGCGGCCCCTAGGGGTAGCCTATTGCAGCAGATCTGCTGTTAACACAATGATTTTTCAATTATCAGAGATCAAAACAGTTCTTCTTTTTCTTATTCATAACTTAAAAAAGAATAATAATTAGTAATAATTAAATATTATTATTGTTTTTTAAATCTATTACTTAACATTTCAGGCAACGCCCTTTGATTTCCAGGTGACCCTAAATGGGGTCGTAACCACTGGTGGTTGAAAACCACTGGATTAAATAGTGTTTCCACTTCACAATTCACAATTAATTAATTAAATAATTTAATTAATTATCCTATGAAATAGGATGCGGCCTTTAGTCATAATCAACACCTGATGACAATTCAAGGGACGTCTTTTCTCGCAGATTTTACATGATCTTCATTTGTGCCTTAAAAAAACCTCTGTCTTTTTTTGCTTTTGTGAAAACAAAAGAACTATCGTCAGTGTCTGAAAACAGCTAAACACACACAGACACAAAGAACAAAACACACCCACACCAGTAAAAGCTCTGTTCCCTCTCTGTCCACTAGTCTGCACTAACACCGTTTGAAGCTCCAGTCTGGGTGTGTTGTTGTTTTCTGGGTTTCCGTCAGACAAACATAAAAGAAGGCCGTTTAAAAAGGTTTGGTGAGAGGCCGCGGTGGCTCGCTGAACATTCAATACATGAACAGTCGTTAAAATACTGCAAACATTCATTAAAAAGCTGGGCGTTGGCTAAGTATCGTCGGTTTGGCGTCACTGTCGACCTCCGGAGGCGCTTGTATTTTTTTCAGTTGTGGTATTGAGGTGAAAGTGAGCATAGCAGCTAAACTGAGTTCAAACTCTTAAAAAAAAAATCAACAATAAATAAATAAGTTAAAAAGTCGCACGGACGCGGTTGGGACCAGCGCCGCCTCCGCTCTGACGTTACTCGTCCTCAGGTCCAAAATCAAGCTCAAGTCGTTACAGAAACAGCAGCTGATCATGAAAGATTCTAAAAAAAATGATAACAGCAGCCCGATTGGTTTACAGGCTGCACCCCACCCCCCAGCTATCATTATGACAACATTCACGTCACTGAAACTACAATTTACTGGAGCTTGACTAAACTCCTAAAGTCCAGGCTTCACAACCTGCCTCACTCTGAGGCCACGCCCACACAACCTGGGACAATTAATGCTTCATTTATACAAACACGCAATGTTGCTTAATAGAGTTTATGCTAATGCTGCTAGCATAAACTTAATTGACCCTCCATCGCTGATCAGCAACGTTCATTTTAGAACAAGTCACCGTTTCAGGTCATTCCTTTCCCAGTCCACGAGAACATAGGACCGATGTCTTTCCCCGGCATTAATTAGGACGCGGTGTGGACGCGGCCTGTCCTTCGGGATGATGCTCCGACCTTTTCCTCTCCTACTCTGATAAATGCTTTGATACATGGAGAAAGAAAACTCCTACACATCTACAGAGTAAACACCAACCTGACAACACGTAAATATCATGGCATATCATATCATAGCTCATATTTTAAATATTTTATTACTACATTAAAACCCTTTTACCGTTCTCTTTCTAAGGTTTCTACCCTCATACATGTTTGATTATAAACAGGAATCGTTACCCTGATCTCCTCTTCTGGCCCGTTTCGGCCTGGGTTGGCCTGATTCGGCCTGGTTTGGCTCACATGGTGCAGGATTTGTCCAGCGGTGAGGGCAGAGGCGGGGTGCTGCTTTTAGGCGGGACCAGAGGTTTGGGCCTCAGTGCCGGGGGCCTCAGTGGAGCCCCAATCCGGGCGGCAGCCACAGGTTTGAAGGAGCCAATGGCGTCAGGGGAGGGGTTGGCAGGTCTGGGTGGTCCAGGTGGAGGTCCTGGCAGAGGGCTGATGGGACTTAGTGGGCTCAGGGGGCTAGGGGTGCCAGGGGTTCCGGGAGTCCCAGGGGTCCCCGGGGTGCCTGGTGTACCTGGGGTGCTGGGGGTGCTGTGGGGGCTGGGAGACTCAGAGGAACATGTGGTGATGGGCCCGTTCTTCATCTGCTCCAGGGTGTCCAGGACCACGTCAGGGGCGGGACGACAACCTGGACGTTCCAGTTGTCGAAATTCCCCCAGAGCCACAGTCACTGTCTCCTCGATATCCTGCACCGGGACAGTGGTATTAGTGAGGACGTTGCTGGAACGCGTCTCTTCTCTCTAACACAGGGGTGTCCAACTCATTTTGGTTCACGGACCGTATGCAACCTTTTAAGCTGTCAAGTGGGCCGGACCCGTACAATCATAAAATAATTAACCATAAAATCATGTTTTTCCCTTTTGTTTTCATGCAAACAAGTATATTAGAAATGTGTTATTATTTATTCATATTTAATTAAATGTCATTTTCCTGAACATGAAGTGCTTGTGTATGTTTTATTTTCAAAATTTATCAAGCAGGCCGGATTGAACTGCCTAGTTAAACATATGTTAAACATATTATAAAATATATATTATATTATATTACATATATATTTATATTATATTATATTATATTATATTATATTATATTATA